TATATATAATAGCATAGGTAATTATCCAAAAAGTGAAAGACAAATTTAGAAAAAGAAATGTAAATGATTAGATAAAAGAATTATAATTTATAAAAACCAAAATAATTTAATAATTATATACAAAAATATAAAATTACTTTTATATATTGACATAGATTATAAATATAAAAAATAAAAAAAATTCTCACCACATAAGAGAAGAGACAACTTAGATATTTCTTTATATAATTATTTTTTTTATTATAAATTTATAAATTTATAATTTGTGCGTGAGTATACATCAACATACATGATTAAATATGAATGGTCTATTTAATAGAAAATGATTCATTTTTTCTTATATTTCATTTTAAATTTTAATTTTAATAATATTGAGTAAACTATATTTTAAAAAATAAATTTATTTATATAATATAATAAAAATCTAATATACATATATTAAAAATATAAATAAATAAATAAATTTATAAAACAAAAGCAAATTATCAATATTTAAAATATATCTTTTATACATTTTTTTCATTATAAATGTATAAGTTTAAGGTCTATACATAAATGTACATTAATATACATGACTATTTATGAATTGTCTCTTTAACAAAAAATGATTAAATCTTTTTTTTTTATATTTTTTTTAAATTTAAATTTTAATAATATTGAATAAACTATATATTAAAAATAAATTTATTGACTTTTTAAAAAATTAAACTTATTAAGCTAATTAATATTATTAATATAAATAGAACTTCCCATATCAAACTTTAAAAAAATCAAATTAAATCTATAAAAAAAATTTATAATAAATTATATTTATATTCTAATTTTGTAGAGTAGACAACATCTATATATTTAATGTTTAATGTGATTTATTTTTTATCCTGCTTGATGTATACATTACCATTAATTTTCTGAAAAATCTTTTTCATCACATTTCCTTACATGAGAGTGTGAACTAGTTAATCAACCTTGAGAGTTTTGATGACTATGTTAAATGATATTCAGTTAATGCTTACGTATGGCACTGAACATAAAAATAATTGAGGTGTACAGTTTGTATTTAGCTACGGCACACATTTTAAGATGCTGATCTTTTGATGGAAGATTCTTCGGTGCCGCTATCTTTGCAAAGTTAGCTGATCCAAACATTCCTTGACACTTCAATTCAAACAATCGGTAAATAACAAAATTCCTTGGAACCTGAATCGGGATCGAAAGTGAAAACAAAGTTAACTACTAAGGATGTGGTCGAATATCTGTTACAATGGCATTGAACAAAAGTTTTGCATTTTTCGATGCATAAATAAAAAAATATACATATGTATGTGGTGAATTAAGTTGGAAATAAATTCGACTGAATGGAACTGTAATTTTTTTTAAAAGTTTATATATATTATTTAAAATTGATAATTAAAAGTTAATTATTAATGGTTAAACATTACTTGAAAGGAATTATAAATAAATTTTTATGTTTAGGCTGTCTGCACTTTCTATAACTCTTTCGATATGATTTTGCAATTTTGTTGTCTAACTTTTAAACGTTCGACATTTAATTTTTAAAATTTTATATATTTTATTGTTTAGATAATTGATAATTGATATAACAGATTGATTATTAACGTAATAGTTGACTCTTAACATTAATTGATATAATACAATGATAATATGATATAAAATATCATTTCAATGATTAATTAACGATATCATATAATTAATTAGTGGATGATAAAATGTTTCAATATTTTTCAATCAAAATTAGATAGTAAAATATATAAATTAAAAATTTGAATGACAAAATTTATAAAATTATAAAATATAGGTAACAAAATAGTGTAATTAAGCATTAATCTTATTAGTTTGCTCTATTGTTTTTATTCTTAAAGAAATAGTTTTGTTCTTTCATATTAAAAGGTTGAATATGCAGGTTCTTTCTATAGATCATGGCTTCCATGCATGATGCATGACCCTAAGCATTGAAGTCATGACATGCTTTCAAACTCAATAAGAAAACCTTGCCTGAGGGGCAAAAAATTACCCCAACAGCTCATGAAACATTTAGGAAATATATTTTTCAGTTTCTTTTACACTTTTTCTTCTTGACAAACTCTAGTGTTGAAGTTTCTTACTAATATGTGGTAGAGTACAAATTTTCACTTCAGGATGGATGTTCTCTGTTTTGACATGTAGAAATATATCTTTTAGTGGTTAGCAGTCAAATTAGCAAGTTATATACAATATCCTGATTTCACTAGGAGTTTCTATGCTAATTACATTGTAATTATGACCAAAATTCAAGAAAACTGTTCAATAAACACCAATAGATATTCAATTGTCATTTAATTTTTAATATGAATAATCTTAGCCTTGTCTTTATGACAGCAATTTTGCTATTTTACTCCTTGGGATTCATGTTCAAAAAAATGACTAAAGGTGGTTGTTATTTAAATGAGTACTGACTACTGACTGCGTGATGAGTTGCCCCCTCTTTTTGTAAATTTGATAGTTCTTTTGGGCTTTTATCCCTATCCTGATATTACACTTCATATTTTACAATGACATACCAAGTTTTAAATTCCGAAAATGATCATATTACATTGCATACTTTACACTCTTAGATCTCATCTTAAGCATAAGAAATTTTTGTTTTTTCATCTCATAATGTATCTTGCTTACACGGTTCTGTGATAGATAAGATTTGTCTAGTATTGAATGTTAAATAAGATTTTATATTTTTTTTTCTAGATTTTTTTTTTAATGTAGATTTGATTTATACAGCTTCTTGTGTTGAGGTTTCCAAAAGTTACAATTCTTTGATTTCTCTTTAGAGTCCTTAAAACATAATTTGTACAAAAGTTACACCATTCAAAAGACAAGCTTTTTTATTCCTAATGGAAAACCAAACGTGTTAAATTTTGATAAGTCAAGTATAATTGGTTAGATTTATTTGTCGTGGTTTATAATATCTGCACATATATTGCTGTTAATAGAAATATTCACAAATCAATAAGCCCTGGTCTCCTGATCTCTTAATCATTCACATTGTTTCGTTTTCTCAAGAGCATAGGACCTGATAAGCATGCATGATGCATGTCAATCCTTTGTTCATGAATTTAACCAATATTAGTGTCTGTGTCTCTCGATGAGATACATTCCTCTGTCGTGAATTTGACCAACATAATGTTTCTTTGCTTTCAATAATTGAACAAAAGTGATGATGGCATTTCATTTGTCACCTAGTATTGCCACACAAAATAGTGCTCACTTCTTCGCGATAGAAAAAGATCACACTTTTAAGCTTAGTCTTTCTTCTCACTCTTCAAGGTCATGTGTTTCCAAAATGCATGTGTTTTTACTTTTTTTTTTTTTTTTTTTTATAATAGCCACAATGAAATAATGCTGTTCATTTGCATCTCCATTCCAAATAAGGAAATTACCGACATACATAACCTTTAGAAATGAATTAATGTATTTCCCTAAAATTAAAATAAAAAATAGATTATTCAAGAATTAATGAATAAATCATCACCATATTAACCTTTAGTGTCTCCCCCACTTGTTTACCAAGGGAAAATCGTTACTCCCTCCGTTTTTTTTTTCATAATCATTTTGTTAGAATTTGTTATTTTTTTTTTCATTGTCATATTACTAAAATTAATGAGTTATTAATTTTTTTCTTCCATTTTTACCCTTGATAATTAATACATGTTTCCTGAACAATGTGTGTATTTATTTTTAATATCTACCTAATTTTTCTCTAACTACTTATATAAAGTTAATGTGCATTTATAAGAACAATATGTTCCCAACAAAATACTATAAAAAAACAAAAAAAATGACAACTATTTAATAGAGTAGTTCAATAGTTTAAAAAATACAAAAAAAAAGGGTAAAATAAGAAAATAAGTAATAAATATTTTTGAAAATTAAAATATCAACGATTTCCTTAATTCCCGTGCAAAACCTTAAACGACTATGAAAAAAAAACGGAAGGAGTATTATAACTCTATAATAACAAATAAGGTATTGATGATTATTTAACTTATTGAAAATTTTGTTTGAAAAAGTTAAAAACGTTTTTAAAAATTTCTCTATTATAAAATGAGAATATTTTCTGATAGAATAATCCTTAAAAATACTCTTAAACTTGGTTCAAACAAACTCTATCAACCTTTTAATGTGAAAATGATGCATGCGTGTTAACCAAAAAAGTTAGCAGCTGAAAAAGAACCAACATTTTAAACTGAATTGTTCTATACTTAGTTTTAAAGGTTTGATATCATCTCAAGAATTAACCCTTGGATGAGTTATCTTCATGGACTAAGGAAAAAGAGATGAATGCCATAAAATGCAAGACAAATACATACATAAGTTTAGTCAAATACATAAATGTTTACAGCCTCTAGAAGAAGTTGTACAACACACAAAAGCTTAGCTAGCCACCCAAATTTAGCAAAGTCACGTCTCATAAGGCTACTACCGCATTTTGGTCATCTCTTCCGCCGCTTGTGCTCCACCTGCAAATTCAAAATTTGAATTCTAATGAAACCATAATTCAAAAAAAAAAAAATTATGAAAACAAACTCAGAATCCAAATTTGAACTAAATACCCTGGATACAAATGTGTAAACCTATTCAAACAAATAACACCTTAATACCACTTAAAAATTATGTATTTATCAAATAATAACATCAACGAACAGTTGCTTACTACTTACTAACCTATAAATAATGTTAAGTCACGACTTCAAAATTCTTATGTTCAGTTCTCATATAGATTATTCTAGAGGGTATTTAAACCACTAGATGAATAGTCATCTATACAAGCCCCATATTTACTTAAACCTACCATCAAACAGATATAATGGGGATCAAATTAATGTATCCTGAATAGAAACCCAGTGTGCCAGCTCCCCAACCCCTAAAAACTCTAAAGCATTTGATAGAAGACATGTTGTGGGTTTTAATAAAAGTTCTGAAAATTTATGACAGTGAATGAAAATAATAATTAAAAAATCATGACTGCTTCTATGTCATCCGACAAAAATGGAAGATACTGGGTTTTCATGTACAAATTATTAAGTTATGAATAGAATAGCCAAGACAAAATTTAGTCAAAACTACATTACAACAGACATGCAAAAAGCAAATTGAGTTTTACAACACTTACATGTGAATTTGTCAACAAAATAAAATGATAGTAGTACTATTTTGTAACATAAACAATAAGTTGCTGATATCCAAATTAAAATAATAATGGAAATGAGATCAGATCATCCATAAAGAAAATTCCTAGTCCACCATTTGAGAATGAGTTTTGTTATTAATAGAATTGGTGCCGTTTGGTCGTCATTGCAAATATTTTTAGGTTTAATATAAAATGTCTACTAGTTCTCCATGATGGCAAAAAAAATACCAGATTTTATAATATTGAAATTTTATGATTTCAAATTATCTTTTGAATTTTGGATATAAAGCTACCTTTAGGGCTCCCCATGAACCTGAGCATATATTGATGCAACTATGAAAATGCAGATGAAAGTTATATATGACAGAAAAACACAGGAAGAAGAAAAAATGAACCAAAGTGAATGTACAATAATCATAAGGATTCATAATATGCATAGGCTTGTAAGAATAAACATTATTGACAAATCTATATCTCAAACAAAATAATTGCAGTCGTCAATACATTCAAAACGATATAAAAAATTAAAGCATGTCTGTAAAACAAGAGTACAACAATTTAAAACACCAAAAGTATATTTACTTAATGGCATACATAAGCAACCATGATTCTAGATTAATTTTAGCTATCCCACCACGGTCTGAACTAATTACCCTCTGCAACATGTTTGAATTCAAATAATGCCCGGTGTTTCAGATTATGGAAAACAAAGCAGAAAAAAAAAATGAACTACACATGCCTGGTTCATGTCTCGATCAAAAAACATCATTATCTTGTTGGTTTTGCAACTGTATTTAAAACGAAGAAATCTATGCTAACTCATGAAAGAGAAGCTGCACTAAGGGTTTTTTCTTTTAAAAAAAAATATATATATTTCTTCATCAAACTCTAAATGCTACACCATATATTAAACCAGCTACCCCTTCCACAGCAATGTGTCCCCATTCCCCTCCATGTCATTGCCAAGGGGAAACAAATTAATACAAAATTAATGTCCGAGTCATATGCTAGGAACAATAAGTAGGAAGAACAGAGTGAAGTAGTAATTAATCAGTACGGGATGCAAGAAGTCACCTTGTTATCAGGTACCGGTGATATAGAAAATGTCGCTTGAGATTTCTTCATATCATCATCAGATGAACATTCGGAACATACAAAATGGTCTAGTTTTTTTGCTTCTTCAATAGTCATGCCCATACAGGCAGGATGATACCTACAAGAAATCCATAAAGATTAAAATGTGTTCTTAAAACATATAAGCCTCTGCATTCATTAGATTTAACACTTTTTCACAACTAACAGAAAAGTGATGTCAACAAAGTTAGAGTTGATCCATGAATGCACTAAAATTTACATCCGCAAAATTATATAAACATTGATATTGATACAAAAAAAAAACATATCAAAGCTAAGTTTCACCCACTACTGTGAAACCAATTGACCGAAAGAATAAGTCTCTGCATCATTTAATTAATATTCACTGACAAATTTTGGTAAAAAGACGCTATGGAACACAGTCATCATAACAACATCCACAAAAACACATAGCAGTTTCAGCCAGTGATAAAATTCATGTCAATGAATTTTTGACTGAGTAGCTCACAAGTAAATGGAAACTCCTTAATATTTTAATTCTTTCTTTCTAGTTTTTTTTTTTTTTTTTTTATCAAAAGCTTGCATAGGCCAAAATAGAGTTACAATAACCTATACTTAAAAGAAATTTATAACATTATTGGGCCGGGGGAAACATCCTCCATTTTCCATGAGCTTCTTCCTGACCCAACCATTCCCCTTCTCATTTTACTACCAAAATTGACCTTACAGGTTATAACTCTCTTAACACCCTTTCAGCCACTCATTCTGCACGTGCTGGAATCATATAAACCCTTCAACCCAGTAAACAACACCCAACACTTAAAAACCACATATAACAAAACAAAGACCTAAAAAGATACAAAATTCAAACTCCAGACACAATAAGAGCAAACAAAGTAAAGCAGAATACACTGATTTTACCAATCCTTGCACCCTTCACATTGTACCATGAGGTCATCCGAGTTATATGGCATCTCACACTTGCAATACCTTCAAAACACAAACCAAGAAAAACCCAATTAGTCCTAAAACCCAAAATCCCCACCCTACCAATCAATAACCCGAAAACCATCTTAAAAACTAGTAAAATAACTTTTAGCCCCTAAAAATATCTCAAAATTCAACTCTACCCCCTAGTCCATACAAAAAATTAATTCGTTTTTAGTCTCTACATTTACCAAAAGTCATACAGTTTTAGTCCCTCATCATAAACCAAAACACATGGATTTCATGTAAAACATAGGAACTAAAAGCGTATTAATTTCTGATATTTCGAGATACTTTGCGGACCAAAACACATTAGAAAGGAACTCACACAGCAACACGGTCAGGGGTGAAAGCCCCAGTAGCAGCCTTGTACTCAAATCTACAATAGTAATCCTCAGCACCCACATTCTCAAGCTTAGTGTAGTTCTTGAAAGAGTGCACCACACACTTCCCTTCAATGGTGTGAGCACTCTGCACATCATAGTGGTCAGACAGAAAAAGCTCCTTAGCCCCATGAAACTGCCTGCGACCCCCAATCGACTCTTCAGGCCTATAGTACCACCTCACACGCACCTTCACGTTGTTCCTGTTGTCCTGCTCGATCTTCTCCACACGTGCCACGTAAGGGGGCTTCGTGGTGTCCTGGGGCCGCATCAAAACGCAGTCACCAGCTGCACAAAACGCAAACTTTAACAACCCCAACTCAAAACCACATCATGGGCAGCCACGAAAACGGGAAAAGGAACCGTTTTTGACTTGAAAACGAAAGTGGGTAGGGGAAAAATGAAAAGGGTGGGTGTTGGTTACCTCGCACGATCTTGTTGGTTCCTCTTATGGTGTAGGAGTCCAAGTCCTTTCTTCCTGGCCTCGTTTTCGCCATGGGGATCGCGAGGAAGAAGGGTGTTTGGGGGAATGTGAATTTTCTGAGGTGTTGTTGGGTCGGAAGAAGATGAAGAAGCAGAAGAAGAACAGAGGAACCCTAGGTTGTAGGACTAAGGGGTGACACTTTATGTTGTGTGAGGGAAGGGAGTGACTGTGACGCTTCGCCTGAGTTTTTATTACAGTGCTTTTTGGGAATGCAATGCGATTCTTGGATGGTTCATTTATATTTGACCGTTTCGTAAATTTTTTTCAGTCCTGAGATCTGCTTTGACCGATTTCCCAATGAACAAAATTTAGATAAGATACTGTTGCTACTACTGTTGGTATTCTTTGAATGTGTTTTATCTTAAAATCATGCTTTTATATTTAATGTGATGGCTAATTTGTCTTATTCTGATATTCTCTACCAATTTTTATCATAATATGATGATAATTTACCTAAATTTTATCCTTTCTTAGTTTCCCTCATGATGCACATTTTTATTACGAAATCATCAAAAGTAAAATTCCAATTATAAAACAAGAACAGTATCAATAATACTTAAAAATGGTGTTTTAACTTATTCTAAATAAAAAGTAGTAAATAGTTATTTTTAATCACTAAATTAGAAGTTGTAATCTTATTTTTCTCTCCATCTCATAATAATTACAATTTTAGTATTTATAAAATATTTCGAGATACATGATAGTTTCACTTTTAATATAATATTAATTATTTTTTTAATTATTCGGTTTATAGATTATTCAATAAATAAAATTCAAAGTATTGTATTTATTAAAATGGTTGGTTATTTTGGTAAAATTGTATAAAAGGTATATATTTATTGTTATCCTTAATTTATATGTAGAATCTTAAACTATAATAAGGTATAAAGAAATTTGTTTTTAAGCATGTGATTTTGTCTTGGTTTTGTATATGATTGCTTTTTGTTAATCTAAACTTTTATGTGACAAAAAAATTAGTTTTTTAAGTATCCAGTTTTTGATATGGATTTCTAATAATATTAAAATAATATTTGGTTAAAGAAAATCATTTTACGATCATAAGTTAATTTTTTATTATTGATTTTTTAATATTATAAATTATGTTCATGAACCAAAAAGATAATTTTTTAAAAATATGGATAAGGTTATTAGTGTCATTATAATATTCCAACGAATTAAAATAATATTAGTTTATTAAGTTAAAAAAAATGTGAGATTTCCACATAGTGTTTGATTAGAGGGAAAGAAAGAGAGAGGGAAAATTTATTTATTTTATATAATTTTTGTTATTTTGTTAACTATAAGAAAGGAATGAGTCAAAATTCATTTCATCTAATTTTAGTTATTTTTCAAATATGGAAGGATTTGGAGGGAAAGAGATGAATTT